TCCTTTGCCGTTGGTTCACCCTCCAATGGCCGCCATGGCTGGCGCGCTGCGGCCGGCACGCCGCGCTGATCCGATGGCAGGAGCCAGGTGCTTCCTCCTGGTCTCCCATGCGGGTGCAGGGCCCAAGTACTTGGGCCATCCTCCAGTGCACTCCCTGGCCACAGCAGAGAGCTGGCCTGGAAGAGGGGCTACCGGGACAGAATCCGGCGCCCCGACTGGGACTAGAACCCGGTGTGCCGGTGCCGCAAGGCGGAGGATTAGCCTAGTGAGCGCGGCGCCGGCCACATGCTGCATTTTAACACTCATGTAAGACTGCTGGCTCAGAGTGCCAGGACTAGCAACATCAAAGTTAGAGCGCAGAATGTCAGGTGCCACCCCAGGCTTACTGAATCCAAATCTATAGTTTAAGCTAGATTCACATTAACATTTGAGAAGCACAGAAACCTTGAGAAGTTTCAGTGAGGTGTCCTTTTCACCCGAGTTTCTTATGATTTGGTTGTTCTTTTACCTCTGACAGGTTGGTTTTGCTATGCTCTCCCCTCCCTGTAATGTGTTTTCTTCCACTTGAGGGGCAAAGCAACAGCGAGAGGGAAAAGGAGAGACAGAGACAGAGAGCTTCTGTCTGTTAGTTCACACTCCAGATGCCCACAGTAGCCAGCGTTGGTCTAGGCCCAAAGCCAGGAGCCCAGAACTCTGTCTGGGTCTCTTGCACGGGTGGCAGAGACCCAAGCACTCGCTGCCTCCCAGGATGCATCAGCAGGAAGCGGGAAACTGGGACTCAGACCAGCACTCTGATGTGGGGTAGAGTGTTGCAAGCAGCCGAAGCTGCTGTGCCACAGTTCCTTCCCTGCTGTGCACTCTGGACCTAATGTAGGTGAAATGTGTGAACGTTATTCTTTATAGCATGAATAATGCAGAAGAGTGCATATGCAATTTAAAGAATAATTATAGACCAGTGCCGCGGTTCACTTGGCTAATCCTCTGCCTGTGGCGCCGGCACCCCGGGTTCTAGTCCCGGTTGGGGCACTGGATTCTGTCCCGGTTGCCCCTCTTCCAGTCCAGCTCTCTGCTGTGGCCCGGGAAGGCAGTGGAGGATGGCCAGATGCTTGGGCCCCTGCACCTGCATGGGAGACCAGGAGGAAACACCTGACTCCTGGCTTCGGATCGGCGCAGCGTGCCACCTGTAGTGGCCATTTGGGGGGGGTGAACCAATGGAAAAAGGAAGACCTTTCTCTCTCTCTCACTGTCTAACTCTGCCTGTCCAAAAAAAACAAAACAAAACAAAAACAAAAACAAAAAAAAACAAAAAAAACAGTATAATTGTAGGCCAGCGCCACAGCTCACTTGCCTAATCCTCCGTCTGCAGCGCTGGCATCCCAGGTTCTAGTCCCGGTCAGGGCACCGGATTCTGTCCTGGTTGCTCTTCTTCCAGTCTGGCTCTCTGCTGTGGCCTGGGAAGGCAGTGGAGGATGGCCCAAGTGCTTGGGCCCCTGCACCCGCATGGGAGACCAGGAAGAAGCACCTGGCTCTTGGCTTCAAATCAGTGCAACATGCCGGCTGTAGCAGCCATTTGGGGGGGTGAACCAACAGAAGGAAGACCTTTTTTTGTGTCTCTCTCTCACTGTCTAACTCTTCCTGTCAAAAATAAAGTAATAAAAAAGAATAATTATAAGCAAATACCTGAGTAACCATCATCCAGTCAAGAAGCAGAATGTGGCTGATGTCCCAGAGGTTCTTCCGTTGTACCCATCTCTGATTACAGCCATTTGCCTCTCTCGCAGAAGTAACCGTGTCCTAACTTTTGTGGTAAATAATAGTTTTACCAGTGATGAATGTATCCTCAAATAGTAGTTTGATTTTGCTTGTCAACTTTACATAAATGGAACCATACTTTAGATATTCTTTTGTTGCCTTCTTTTGCTAAATATTAGACATGTATCCTTTTGTTATGTAGGTTTCTTTTTTAAGTAGTGAAGCCAGAATAAAGTTTTCAACAACTTTAGCTATTAATATATTTATTTATTTGAAAGGCAGAGTTACAGAGAGGCAGAGGCAGAGAGAGAGAGAGGTCTTCCATCTGCTGCTTCATTCTCTAAATGGTCACAACAGCTGGAGCTGGGCTGATCCGAAGCCAGGAGCCAGGAGCTTCCTCTAGATCTTCCCACATGGTTGCAGGGGCCCAAGCACTTGGGCCATCTTCTGCTTTCCCAGGCCACAGCAGACAGCTGGATGGGAAGTGGAGCAGCTGGGATTTGGGATGCCGGCACTATAGGCAGCAGCTTTACCCCGCTACACCGTGCCGCCACACCCTTTAGCTATTAAATCAAAACTTGATGTTTAGTTCTTTTTGGAAAATACCTATTTATGTGGTGCTTGTCCTGCTTCACTCCCTCTTTTTTTTTTTTTTTTTTAAGATTTAAAAAATTTTATTTATTTGAAAGAGTTACAGAGAGATGTAGAGCCAGAGAGAGAGGAGTCTTCCATCTACTGGTTCACTCCCCAAATGACAGCAATGGCCAGAGCTGAGCTGATCTGAAGCCAGGAGCCAGGGGTGTCCTACAGGTCTCTACTCCCTCTTTAAAGATGCAAAACTGGGGGTCTGGTGCTGTGGCCTGGCCTGAAGCACCGGCATCCCATATGGCTGCGGGTTCGAGACTCAGCTGCTCCACTTCCAATCCAGCTCTCTGCTGTGGCCTGGGAAAACAGAAGATGGCCCAAGTCCTTGGGCCCCTGCCCCTATGTGGGAGACCCAAAAGAAGCTCCTGGCTTCGTATCTGTGCAGCTCAGGCTGTTGTGGCAAATTGGAGAGTGAACCATCGGATGAAAGACCCCCTCCCCCTCTTTCTCTACCTCTCCTCTCTCTGTGTAATTCTTTCAAATAAAATAAATCTTTTTTTTTTAAAGATGCAAAATTGGGGGCTTGTGCTGTGGTGTAGCAGGTAAAGCTATTGCTTGCAGCACCCCATATGGGTGCTGGTTCGAGTCCTGGCTGCTCTACTTCTGATCCAGCTCTCTGCTGTGGTCTGGGAAAGCAGCAGAAGATGGCCCAAATCCTTGGACCCCTAGCATACATGTGGGAAACCGGGAAGAAGCTCCTCGTTCCTGGCTTTGGAAGGGCACAGCTCTGGTCATTGTGGCCATCTGGGGAGTAAACCAGCAGATGGAAAACCTCGCTCTCTCTCTGCCTCTGCCTCTTTCTAACTCTACCTTTCAAATAAATAAATCTTAAAAACGAAAATTGCAAAATTGTATCCATTTGTAAACCATTCAGCACCTTGATTATAAATATTACAAGATTGCTATTTTTATAGTTACTTTTTTTTTAAAGATTATTTTTTTTTTTTGACAGGCAGAGTTAGATAGTGAGAGAGAAAAGAGAGAAAGGTATTCCTTTTTCCGTTGGTTCACCCCACAAGTGGCTGCTACGGCTGGCGTGCCGCGCCAATCCGAAGCCAGGAGCCAGGTGCTTCTCCTGGTCTCCCATGGGGTGCAGGGCCCAAGCACTTGGGCCATCCTCCACTGCACTCCCGGGCCACAGCAGAGAGCTGGACTGAAAGAAGAGCAACTGGGACAGAATCTGGCGCCCTGACCGGGACTAGGACCCGGGGTGCCGGCGCCGCAGGCAGAGGATTAGCCTAGTGAGCCACGGCGCTGACCAAGATTATTTGTTTATTTGAGAGGTAGAGTTACAGACAGAGGGAGAGACAGAGAGAAAGATCTTCCCACTGCTGATTCGCTCCCCAAATGGCTGCAATGGCCGGAGCTGGGCCAATTCTAAGCCATAAGCAAGGTGCTTCTTTGGGTCTCCCATTCAGGTGCAGGGGCCCAAGCACTTGGACCATCTTCCAGTGCTTTCTTAGGCTACAGCAGAGAGCTGGATCAGAAGAGGGACAGCCAGGACATAAACTGCAGGCAGAGGCTTAACCTACTATGCAACAACACCGGCCCCTAATTACTTTTTTTTTTTTTACTATAATATTATAAACCATCCTGAGTGACTTTTGTTTTAAAAGTAGACTGTTCTATAATCTGTATATTTAAAGTATACGCTTAAATTATACTTTAATAGAAATTTAAAAATCAGAACAGAATCATATTTACTAAAAAATTAGTTTTTTTTTTTTTTAAGTATAATTTCCAATACCCCCACCCCCCAGAGGATAGTTTTTCTTCAGTCCTAAGGGACTCAGCTTCTCCTTACGTGGGCTTTGGTGGAGGCATGGACAGCACTGGCAAGTCTAAATCAGTGTGCCAGTGTTCCGTGCCTCAGGGCTTCCCGAGATTGCTGACAGCTTTGCTGTGAGGGACGGACCTGCGCACAGAGATGCAGCTTCACTCGCTGCAAGGGAAGTCACAGGCGTCTAAGGTGTGCTCCTCGACAGCGTCCGGGACTGCGAGGCCTCGGTGGTGTTTTGAATGACAGGTTTCTTGATTGGTTTGTGCCTTACCGGGCGTGGATTGCAGTTTGTGCGCGTGTGGCCATGGCCCTTTTTGGCATGACCATTGTTCTTTTTGTTTGTCATCTTGACAGGATCCCAGAGAGGTGAGACTTTTTTTTTTTTTTTTTTTTGACAGAGTGGACAGTGAGAGAGACAGAGAGAAAGGTCTTCCTTTTGCCGTTGGTTCACCCTCCAATGGCCGCCGCGGCTGGCGCGCTGCGGCCGGCGCACCGCGCTGATCCGATGGCAGGAGCCAGGAGCCAGGTGCTTTTCCTGGTCTCCCATGGGGTGCAGAGCCCAAGCACCTGGGCCATCCTCCACTGCATTCCCTGGCCACAGCAGAGAGCTGGCCTGGAAGAGGGGCAACTGGGACAGAATCTGGCGCCTCAACCGGGACTAGAACCTGGTGTGCTGGTGCCGCTAGGTGGAGGATTAGCCTAGTGAGCCGCGGCGCCGGCCAGAGGTGAGACATTTTTAAAAATCTCAGAAGATGTTTGTTATGGCCCATTTATATAATACCAAAAAAGTGTAAGTGGTACCTTTTTTTTTTTTTTTTTTAAGGATTTATTTATTTATTTGAAAAAGAGTTCTAGAGAGAGGCAGAGAGACAGAAGTCTTCCATCTGCTGGTTCACTCCCCAAATGGCCGCAACGGCTGGAGCTTCGCCAGTCTGAAACCAGGAGCCAGGAGCTTCTTCCAGGTCTCACACAGAGGTGCCGGGGCCCAAGGACCTGCGCCATCTTCCAGTGCTTTCCCAGGCCATAGCAGAGAGCTGGATTGGAAGTGGAGCAGCTTGGACTTGCTATGCCACAGCGCTATGCCACAGTGTCGGCCCTGTAAGTGTTACCTTATACAAAGTACTATAGGAAATGGAAAGTTTTTGTGAGGTTATAGAAAAATTCACCCTTATATTTTTAGGCAAAAAAAAATGGCCTTTTGGGAAGCAGGCATCTGGCATAGTGGTTGAGACACTGGTTAAAATGCCTGCACCTTGTATTGGAGTACCTGGGTGCAGTAGCTAGCTCCTGGCTCCAGCTTCCTGCCTGTGTGGACCTCCAGAATTAGTGGGGATGGCTCCAATGATTGTGTTTCAGCCACTTATGTGGGAGACATGGATTGAGTTCCTAGCGTCCAGCGTCAGCCCAGACCACCCTGGCTATTGGCAGGTATTTGGGTTGTGAACCAACAGGTGGGAGCTCTTTCTCTCTCTGCCTCTGAAATAAATTCATATTTATTTATTTAAAAAATAGCTTTTAGGGTCAGCATTGTGGGACAGTGAGTTAAACTGCTGCCTACAACACGGCATCCCATATCGAAGTGCCAGTTTGAGTCCCGGCTGCTCTGCTTCTGATCCAGCTCTCTGCTGGGAAGGCAGCAGAGGATGGCCCCAAGTCTTGCACTGCTGCCACCCATGTGGAAAACTGAATGAAGCTCCGGGTTCATGACTTTGGCCTGGCCCGACCTTAGCCATTGTACCCATTTGGAGAGTGAATCAGTGGATAGAAGATCTTTCTCTCTGTCTCCCTCTCCTTCTCTCTGCCACTCTGCCTTTCAAATAAATAATTTTTTAAGGATTTATTTATTTTCTTGAAAGAGTGACAAAGACAGAAATTTTCCATCTGCTGGTTCACTCCCCAGATGGCTGCAGTGGTGGCCAGTGCTGGGATAGGCTGAAGCCAAGAGCTCCATCCAGGTCTCGCGTGTGTGTGGCAGGGGGCCCATACATTTGAGCCATCTTGCACTGCTTTTCTCAGGCCATTAGCAGGAACCTGGATTGGCAGTGGAGCAGCCAGGACACAAATAGGCACCCATATGGGATGCCAGTATTGCAGGCATTTACCCGCCGTGCCACAGCACCGGCTCTGTTTAATATCTGAAAGTCAGAGTTACAGAGAGACAGTCCCTTTTTCTTGTTATGCTGGTTGACTCCTCAAATGGCTAAGACAGTCGGGACTAGGCCAGGCCGAAGCCAGGAGCCTGGAATTCCATCGAGGTCTCGCACGTGGTGGCAGGGGCTCAAGCACCTGGGCCTATTCTGCTGCCATCCCAGAAACATTAGCAGGGAGCAGGATCAGAAGTGGAGCAGCCAAGACTCAAACCAATATTCACATGGGATGCCAGAGTAGAAGGCGGTGGCTTAACCTGCTGTACCACCGCACCGGCCCCTGCATTTCTTTTCTATAAGAATTTGCTATGTAGCAAACATTTACAGAAATTGCCTCAAATGTGTTACATGAATTGTGAAATTTAATAATTTTCTTCTAATCTTTAGCTTTGTGAATGAATCGTCGTTCTGGTCATAGGACTACATATATGATAAAGGAAATTAATTATGATAATCTGTCTTAATTCAGTAGGCCTCTACTTCATAAAATTAAATAAACACTTAGAAATATAACTCTAGGCTCTCCTGGTACTGCCTGAATTTTGTTAAAGTAATAAAACAATTTATGGTTAAGCTGATTTATTTAAATATGAATTTTTATTATTTATTTTTACTTTACTTGAAATGCAGAGTCACAGAGGGAAATAGAGTGAAATCTTCTGTTCACTGGTTCACTTCACAGATGCCTGCCTGTAACAGCCAGGACTGGGGTGAGCCAAAGCCAGGAGCCCAGAATACAATCTGGGTCTCCCATTTGGGTTAAATAGACCTAAATGGTTGCGTCATCACCTGCTTCTCCCAAGGGGTGTACTAGCAGGAAGTTGGATTGGAAACAGAGGTGGGACTGTTCTAGGCATTCTATATGGGATGCAGGCATCCCAAGCAGCAGTTTAGCCTGCTGCACCACAATGCCCGCCCTCGATGCTAGACTTTATTGCCTTATAATAATGTCAGCATATAATCACTTGTTTTCCCCTATAGAATACCTATAACAGTTCCAAAACAATGATGGCCATATTGTTATAATACATAACACTATTAAATACAGCTTGATTTTTTTTTGTAGTTAAAATATAATTCACAAAAGATACTAAAAAATACCATGTTACAAGGGTTCTTGAACTAATTCCTCTCAATGTGTTGTTATGCTACCAATTTGGTATAAACTTAGATAATTTGTTTTAAAGATTTATTTTTATTTGAAAGACAGAATTACACAGAGAGGTAGAAACAGAGAGAGAGGTCTTCCATTCAATGGTTCATTCCCCAGATGGCCACAACGGCGGGAGCTGCACCAATCTGAAGCCAGGAGCCAGGAGCTTCTTCCAGGTCTCCCACGTGGGTGCAGGGGCCCAGGACTTGGGCCATCTTCTATTGCTTTCCCAGACCATAGCAGAGAGCTGGATCGGAAGAGGAGCAGCTGGGACTAGAACCGTCACCCATATGGGATACAGACTCTTCAGACCAGGGCTTTAACCTGCTGTGCCACAGCACGCACCGTCTCCAAATTTAGATAATTTTATTTAACTTTTTTTTTTTTTTTTTTGGACAGGCAGAGTGTACAGTGAGAGAGAGACAGAGAGAAAGGTCTTCCATTTACCATTGGTTCACCCACTAATGGCCACTGCGGCCTGCGCACCACGCTGATCCGAAGCCAGGAGCCAGGTGCTTCTCCTGGTCTCCCATGCGAGTGCAGGACCCAAGCACTTGGGCCATCCTCCACTGCACTCCCGGGCCACAGCAGAGAGCTGGCCTGGAAGAGGGGCAACTGGGACAGAATCTGGCACCCTGACTGGGACTAGAACCTGGGGTGCTGGCGCTGCAGGCGGAGGATTAGCCTAGTGAGCCACAGCGCCAGCCAGTCAATTTTCTTTGAATACATTTCTATACTGTACAATCTTCAATTATTTTTATAGCAGTGGTACAAATACTGGCATTTAAAATTTCTGATTATTATTAACAGATGGTTGATAAAAATGTTCACAATCAGTTTCCCTGGGATCATGGCAAATTTAAAGAAGGTCAAAGATGAATGTTAGTTTTCCAGATTCCATCATTTTAAGCTCTGATTCTTAAGTATGAATAAGAGTGTTAACGATTTCAGCCTTCACAGTAGCCATCTGAAGTGCCATGTACAACACACATACGAGGACAGTTGTAGAGAAGATGTTTGGGTAACAGTCGAGCCATCACTTGGGACACTTGCATCCCTTTTCAGGGTGCCTAGGTTTGAGTCCCAGCCCTGTTCCTGATTCCAGCTTCCCGCTAATGCACACACTGGGAGGCAGCGGACGATGGTTCAAGTGGTTGGGTCCTTGGCACTCATGTGGAAGACCTGCATTGAGTTCTGGGCTCCTGGCTTTGGTCTGCCTTAGCCTTGGCTGCTGCAGGCATTTTGGGACTGAGCCACTGGATGGGAACTCTTTCTTTCTCTTTCTGTCTCTCAAATATATAAATAAGAATTTTTTTTTAAAAAAAAAGAACAGTTGACATTGGCAATTTTCACGTTTCTAGATAATATGTATTAAGGCATATTTTGTTGCCTTAAAGCAAAGTTCTGACCATGCATTCACTTCTTGATTGCCTTTGTGCTGTTGCCTTTGTCTCGACTTTATTGGAAACCATGGTAATGAGGAGGGAAGGTTGGGATTTAATTAGACAAGTGATTAATGAGCAGAATTGTAATGTGTGAAGTAGTGAAAAGTAAAAACTGCTGGTATTATGTGTCTGCTGTTGACTTACATCTTGTAGGCCACCTCACTCAACAAATATTTATACATCTCTGAGATAATGAAGGCACTGTACACAGTGAATAGGAAGCCAGAAGGGAACTTACTTGGCTAGGGTGCAGGAAAGCTCACAGAAGAGGTGACTTACATAATGAGTGGGAATTCATCTCACTGAAAGGGAGGGAGAGTACTTCAGCACCAAGACCAGGGACGGGAAGAGGTCCTAGGGTGTTTCAGGCACAAGTTGCACAGCTGACTGACTTGAAGTGTGTTGGAAAAAGCCATGGAATTTCTCATTGTTAAATCCTTGGCATGGGGCTGACATCGTAGCACTGAATGAATAAGTCTTAAAAATGTATATATAGGGGCTTGCACTGTGGTGCAGTAGACCTCCGCCTGTGGCGCCTGTGTCCCATATGGGTGCCAGTTCATATTCCAGCTGCTCCTCCTCTGATCCAGCTCCCTGCTATGGCCTGAGAAAGCAGCAGAAGATGGCCCAAATGCCTGGGCCCCTGCACCCATGTGGGAGACCCAGAAGAAGCTCCTGGCTTCAGACCGGCCCAGCTCCAGCCACTGCAGCCATTTGGGGAGTGAACCAGCAGATGGAAGACCTCTCTGTCTCTCCCTCTCTCTGTAACTCTGCCTCACAGATAAATAAATAAAATTTTAAAAAGAGTATATATAAAAACTTTAGCATGCTGTGGTAGCAATTGCTTGCTAATTTTTATTCATTTTATCAAAAACATTCATATTGTTGGTAAGAAGAGTTAAACCAAGTTATTTATTTATTTACTTGAAAAGCAGAGTTACAGAGATACTGGGAGACAGCTCTTGCATCTGCTAGTTCATTCCCAGTTGGCTGTGATAGCTGTGGCTGAGCCAGGCCAAAGCCAAGAGTCTGGAGCTCCATCCAGGTCTCCCACATGAGCGGCCGGGACCCAGGACTTCGGTCATCTTCAGCTTGCTCAGGTGCATTACCAGGAAGCTGGATCAGAAGTGAAGCAGCCAGGGCCAGTGTTGGGGCACAGCAGGTTAAGCTGCCACCTGTGATGCCAGCATCCTATATGGGTGCTGGTTTATATTCTAGCTGCTCCACCTCCCATCCAGCTCCCTGGTAATGTGCCTGGGAAAGTAGCAGAAGATGGTCCAAGTGCTTGGGTCTCTGCCACCCACGTGGAAGACCTAGGTAGAGATCTTGGCTCCTGCCTTTGGCCTGAGCAGC